AACAACTATTGTTGAATTCCTACTATTTGGTTTAACGAAATGCTCTTGTTTCTAATGTGTTTATTTTCTCTTTAAAAAGTAAAAGAGGGGGCCAGGGAGATGGCTCAGTAGAGTAAGTGCTTGCCTGGCAAGCACAAGGGCCTGAGTTCAATCCCTGGTTCTACAAAAAAAGAAAAAAAGTAAAAGAAAATGTTAAAAAGAATAGAACGGAGGTTCACATCCTAAGCAACACTATTGACCAACAATACAAACACTGACTTCCTTCCTAAGTCAAGAGTGAGTCCCACTTAGTGCAAATGGGTGCAAATTCTTTGGAAAGCAATACATATGATATATTACTATTTAATATATAAACATTTGGCAATTCCAGTTAAAATTATTGAGATGAGATACAAAGGTATATAAAGATGTACTATGAAGATATTCTACATCTTTATTTATATTTGTGAAAACCTGGACAATCTAAATGGTCATCAGGGGCCAGGAGATGGATCAGTATAATAAGCGCTTCCCTGGCAAGTGCAAGGGCCTGAGTTCAATCCCCGGCTTTGCCCATAAATAAATAAATAAATAAATAAATAAATAAATAAATGGTCATCAGTGAGAGACTAGTTCAATAAATGAAACTACATCACACAATGAAATATGCACATACACCTCCTAGAAATTTTTTGAAATTTAGAAGATTTTTTAAATATATTCATTAATGAGCAATACATATAAAATGAATGACCTCATTAAACAGATTATACATAATTTAATATACTCTCTTATGTATAAGATATCTAGAAAGATTCATTAAAAGAGTTCATGGTGGCAGTGGTAAAGTTAGGACATGTTTCAAATGGGAGAAGTTTTAATTTTCCTTTTTTTCCTGCTGTATCACTTGCATTTTTAAATTATGAGTATGAATTTTAAAAAAATGTTTAAAAAGTTAATTGTACATAAGAGAGTATCACTGAAAAAGGAATCTTTTAAAGTTTAAGATTTAAGAAAGTGAAAGACGATGCTTCATGTGGGAGCAGAGCTGAAAATGGAATCTCTTTAAGATACAAATCCCTGAGCACAAATGATAGTAAAGTAGATCAATAGCCTAATAAATTTTTAATCCTTTATGACCAAAAACAGTTTATCTCAGAGCTGTAATAGAGGTTTAATATTTCAAAACCTATTAACAAAATACATTACATTATTAGACTAAGGAAGAGGAATTATATAATCACCTTATTGAATACCAAAGAACATTTGGTAAAAAGAAATTGATTAAAAATTTTAAAATTTCATAAATAACAGAATTTCATAAAGGATAAACAATAAATGTATAAAAACAACTATGTAATGACAAATCTTGACTATCAACTTGATCACCTTGGGAGCCACTAAGGGTAAAGGGTATTTCAGGGATATTTGTGGACTACAGTGGTGTTGGGCTTGAGGCTGTCAAAACAGGAAAAGGATAAGAAAGGGAAGTAGGTATTGCAAACTTGCAGGAAGGTCAAGATTTCAGGTGAGAGAGTGGACTGCAACCGAGTCCCATATTGGTGGATTTCTTTAGAAAGATTTTGAGTAGCTTAGAGAATGGCTGTTGTGTCCAGGTGAGCTTCAAAGTGGCCTTCCGTGTCTATCTCAGTGTGAAAGGACATAAAGCAGTTTCTATAGAACACTATGAGCAGGGAGTAGCCTCAGAGAAAAAATGGGTCCCTGGCACAAGAAGAGGTGAGGAGATGGCCCAGTGGTAAGTATGAAAATACAGGTATTTGTTCACAGTAGAACACAGGTTCGAGATTAAGAGGATTACAAATCTGAATTTCAGGATTGAAGTGGGGGTAGCTTTTTATTCATTAACCAAGAATACCCATAACAAGAAGCTTCCTTGGAAGAAGGCAACTCCAAATATTCCAGCTCTGACATAGTGATACCATAACTGCCCAAGAGATCCTGTGGTAAGTAGCAAGTACGAGTTTTGGCTTGAGATATGGTGACCTCCAAATTGTCCCATTTCACTTCTTGCTTCACCTATGTAAAAATTTGTCAGTGGGCACTGAGTATTTCGTATAAGGTGTTATGGAAAAATATGGAGGATAATGGAAAAAATAGAGGCATGACCTCTACTATATACTTGTCAATGAATCTTACACATCCTCAGGAACACCTACGAGATTTACTAAATCACAGGGTGCTGGACCCTACCCACAAACCTCTAATTCAGTATGTCTCAGATATGTTCTAGGAATTTATATTACTAACAAGTTCCTTGTTGGTACTCAAGCTGAGTTCCAAGAGCTATATCCGTCAAATTAGTGACCTAAGGGAATAAATTCAGTACAAAAGCTGTGGAAACTCAGACTCTAGAGGTACTTATTTATGGTTTGACATCAGGCTGAGAACAACATTTTGATAAATTCCCAAGGTGTGACTTTTAGGGCTATGTTTATCTCTGACAACTACCTGTATTTATTCTACTTTTTTGTTAAGGAGAAGCTAGTTACTAAATCAACACAAATGACGGGGCATCACATAACCACGCCACTGGCTCTGAGCTCGAGGGGCATGGGCTACATTGCTGACTTTCTTGTGCCTCCAGTTTGTATCCAGCAGATCAGGGGATTTCTCAGCCTCCATAACTCAATATAATTCCTTATAGTAAACTTCTTCACATACATAGTGCTGAATGTATATACATATGTACATATTGGCTTTGTATATCTGAAAAACACTAATAGAAAATATTGGTCCCTTTCAAAGAAAGTGATCCTTGTCATGAAAAGAGGCTAGAATGTTTCTAATACTCTATCCTATTTGCTGCCTACTAATACAGTCCTATATAGGATTTGGAAACTAGTCTTATTCAGCAAAGGAAGTTAGTTTCAGGTTCTTCTGGGGCCATCAAGTTCCATACGACAAGGTATTCTTTATCCTCTGGTAGAAGGGAAAATACCAATCATGGAATCAAAAGTATACATTACAGTTGCTTGCATATTAAAGGACTAGTTGCATGATTTGGGGTTAATTGCCTTTAAAAAAAATTGATTCTCAGTTTATCTATAAGGAAAAAAGTGTGTCCACACAATGGATAGACTTTCTCGTCAATGCCAGTCTGTGAGAAGTGACTTCCTAGAGTACAGTCTGCAGAAGATAGTGAGCCTGTGTTCACCCAGCTGCCATCACTGGTTAATGATGTTTCGTACACCATGGGGAGGGGAAGTGGTGGTTCAGACGCTACCATGGGCCCTTTCCACTCCTTAATTCCATGATGCTATGTTATTATCCTTAATGCAAATATACCAAGCATGTATGGACCTCTAAGATGTTAGATTTCTTTTTCCTGCCGGGTCATCTTTCTGTCGTTTTTTTCCTCCTGTTGGGTCTTAGGTTCCATTTTCCTCTCAGGTGAATGTTATAATACTGGAGCTGACAGCATTAAAGTGCATAGCAAATGCATAATAAAATAGTTTTGCTAAACACTTCACATAAAGTAGCATTGTTAATGGACACTATGTCCTAACTTACTTAGAAAAGACTGAATGGGGCAGATGAATCCAAAGCCCCAAAGGGAGCTGTAGCCCTGCCTGGACCACAGTCCCTGGACTCAGAGACAGTGGTCACAGAATAGACCTCTGATGAAAACCAACTTGATTTCTACTATTTTTTGTTCCTTTCCTGAGCCTCTTTAAGAGTGGAGAAAAATTATTCCAGTGAACTATGGCTCTGTTTTTGAAGAAACTACAGCAGCATAAAATTATATAGCAGGAGACATGATGAGGCCTACACAACCTTTCAAAATACATTAGACAGGATGGACACTTTGTCCTGTGCTGTGGGTGTCAATGAGCTGTGTCCTAGCCAAGCAAACCTTCCCCTGAGCCTCAGTTTCCTAACCCATCAAAGGACCTTACAATAAATGATGTCCAAAGTTCCCCAAGTTGTGACATTTTATGAGTGTTAGGCCTTCACTACACATGGCAGATATGTGGAAATGGGAAATTTAATGTATTTTAAAGCGACTTGGCCTGTTGTGTCTATAATTAAAAATTCTAATTGTTCTCCATAAGTATCTCATCAAAAAATAGAAATTTAATTAGTTAAATGTTGGAGATCTTTAACTCAGTTGGATATCTCACCCTGGTTCTCAAACTTGGAAAAGGAGGAGCAAGGATGGGTTTCCATTCAGAGGAATTTTTGGCCCTATTTGGGACCAATTTGGTTTGTTGCACCAGGGCTAAGAATGGGAATAGTGATCTTTTCTAGTAGTGATCTTTTCTAAAGCCCAACGACTGCCCTTAAACATTGTACATGACACCCAACCCACAACATAGCATTCTGTCAACTAAAATTGTGCTGAAGTTAAGAATAGCCTGCTTTAACTCCATCTCCTTCTAGGGAGTTCATAAAAATTTTGAGGGTAGAGACTGAAGTTGTCAAGTTCATACACAAACAAGCTTCCTTCGTTTCAACCCACACAAATCAAACTAACCACGTGATTTACATCAAATGCACTGGACCAAATTAGCCACTACAATGCAGTTAAAAAACAATATAGCTAAAATATTCTGGGTTTCTAAATCTTATTTAGTAACTTTAAAAGCCCCACAATAAACACTTCACAGATTCTGAGCTGATGAGCACCACTTAAAGCATTTTTTTTATGGTTACATGCTTACTTCTATGCATTTCAATGTCCTATAAATTTATTTTTCACCTTTTAAAATAAAAGCTACAGATTTTCTTTAATTATCATTAGATGCAATAAATAAAAGTTTTCTATTTTCCAACCTCAATCAGCTAAAATATAGGAGTGGAAAAATTTGCCAAGGAAATGTGCCTTCTATTTTGGAGGGAAACCCAAAGGACCTTTTTACATCTTACTGCTGAGACAGTTAAAGTTGAAGAGAGAATAAAACCAAAGCTTTGCAATTCTACAAAATTTTATTTTATAATAATAGCTATCACTAAATAATTGGAAAGACTCACACAGAAAAGCCACTGTACCCACTTACTTATCACAAAGAAATAACATTTCTGTGTGAAATCCTTTCGATACATGCAATAATAGTCTGTTGTCCATCTATAATTTTAGCATATACAGTACAGAAGCCGTTGGAATAATGATCTTTCACATAGGCTCTTAAAGCACTGTCACAGGATTCTCTCCAAGACTTCAAACTTCCATCTATTTCCTCTGGATGGGGGTCACTTGCTTCTTTCCGTAAGTGATCAAACTTAAAGGAAATTTTGTTTCTTGGATCTAAAAATCTGCTATTACCCAGATCACCATGCTCTGTAATTAAGACCTGATCTTCATAGCCTTCTATCTTCACAGGTGTGAACTGATCCATGTTATACTGGGCAAATGTATGAGCTGCCCCTTCGCTGAGGAGATTGTCATTGTTAAGTAGTAGCCGGACATCATTGAATACTTCATTAAACTCCCCTGGGGGTGCATGAGTGATGAATTTAGCAGCTATGCGTACCTTCTCCTCATCCGACACTCGATCCTCAAAGTCTGCCATCTTGGGCTGCTCTGGCCCAGCCCGGTGGCCGTGAAATCCTTAGGATAAAAATATTGCTATTTCTTTGGAAATCAGACCTGTCACTTCAAAATAAGTCAGCAAATGAAAGTCCCACATTGCATCTAGGGTATGGTAACATCTATCGTCTTAAGGAATCAAATTCATAATTATAAAAACATACGTCTCAGCTAATACTTCCTATGTATACCCTACTCCTCTGTGCTGTACTGCAAATAGGATCTGAGCAATCCCTAAATTAATTACTCCACTGGGGCACACTTAGTCCTATGTACTAAACACACTCCTTCCTCTACATAGTGGAGACAGTCTGATTTGGAAAATAGCATTTTTCAGTAAGTTAGTTGCCAAAATTTGTGACAACATTCCGAAACTTACCTTAAATAGTACATTTCTTTGATCAGTGATGAAGTACTTGTTTTTATCTTTGAGTAGGTTTTTTTCACCTCAATTAAGTTTAACAAGCTTTTCTCTATAATATTTATCTTTCTTTGACAAAGGAGCTAATATCAAGTATTCTTCCTTTATAATAACTCTGTGATTTACATTCCTATGATACTTTATGTACAAAGTCCTCTTAAATGAAGTCAGGGAAGTTGATGAATGATCTTCCCTCATCCCTGCTCACTTAGTCACCTTACTATATGAAGTACTCTTAATGTTAGGCTTTTTGTGATCATGAAACTCATCATAAAAACTTCAAGGGAGACATTTACTCAAACTTCTCCACCTAAATATTTATTAGGGGCTTGATTATCCAAGTAGGTTAGGAACACCCCTGCCAACTGCCTAATTGGCTCAGGTTACCATTACCAAATTATCTATTTTCTTTTATCAGTGGAAATCTAATTTATGAATTCTCAAACTTTTGGCAGGTCATTCCTCAAAGGTATACTCTTCTGATGTTCTTAATATAGTGTGAAATATATTTTAGACACTGTGAATAGTTTATGCACTATTTAGATTAAATCTTCCACATCTAGTATTAGGTCCTGAACTAAAGGAATTAATATTTAATAGATAGTAAATCTGAACAAAGAAGACTAAACTACCTTACCACAGCTAATGGAAAATCTGAGTAGGTCACACTATCTAAAACTACTTCTGTTTTCAGGATTTTTGGTTAAAAACCACATGCAAGATAGAATGTATAGTAGCACACTATTACATGTGGCCAAGTAATTCACCCAGTTAGCAGTCAGTTTCTCCTGGATGTAATGTAATCTCTTGAGGGAAAGGAATGTTTTTTTTTTTTTTTTTTTTTTTTTGGCGGAACTGGGAATTGAACTCAGGCCCTTGCGCTTGCCAGGGAAGCACTTACTCCACTGAGCCATCTCCCAGCCCCTAGAAATGTGTTTCTTCTGTCAGTTAGAGATCTTGAGCAATGCATGGCACATGGAAGATATTTGATGGGCTGTATAGCTACATGAATATATACTAGTGTTATTTGTACCTGATTGATCTGGTCTCTCTGTACTGTTTTGCTCTGTTCCTCACACTTATTTTGCATTAAGAAACTATCACTAAAAAACTTCCAATCAGAGTGCCATGACAATATCTTTTTGTTGATGATGTTCCTAGAAGGATGCTGACACATGTCCTTATCAGACTCAGCAAGACAAAGGCAGGCGATTTGGGCTGTAAATGCAAAAATTACAGGCCACAGAGAAAATATTGAAACAGACAGCCGAAAGAATATTCCAGAGTCTCTGAAACCTTCCTATCTTGAAGAGCAAGTGAAACACCTCTAAGGTTTCCTTATATCACAACTTTGCAAAGGCTTTGTAAACTCTATGATAGTATTAAAGGGAAAACAGGAGAAAGTTTACGCTTCATTATTGTACCATAAAACAAGAGTAAAAATGCCAAAGAATTAATAGAAAAATAAACAGAAAAGAGATTATAAAACACTTTAGAAACCTAAAGGGTTATAGCAATGCTAAATAATAACACCTCTAATGCCTTCCAACAGAGCCACTGCATTTGACAGGATTATCTTCAAATAACAAGCAGGGACCCTTTCTGCCTAACAGAATAAACAACTATTACAAATGCCCTAAAAATCCATACAAAGCATCTGAATTTAATAATCCAGAGCTACTCTCTCTGTCACCATCTTTCACTCTCTCCATATTTCTGTTTCTTCCTATCTCTGCTTCTCCTGCTCTGTCTTATTCCTATTAATATATGATGACGAAAAATTACCTAAAGAAAATAGCATACAATTTACTAAAGACACAGAACAAAACTTCACAGTGTCCTTTATCATTTTAAGTAGCAGCATGCTTTTTAAGGAGGCTTAAGTAATTGAAAAGCAAATTACTTCCAAATACACTAGCTTAAGAAATTTAGGCAAGAGTGACTGCAGCAGGGCCTTGCGGATGACTGATTGTATTAGTGGCCCAATTAATGACTATTCTGTATCCTCTCACACTGAAATGTGACTTGGCAGCTCTGCCCATCAAGAAAGGAATCTATTTCCTCCTTCCATTAATCCAGAGATGTTTCTATCTGAAAGAATATGGCAGAAGTGATAATGTCAGGTCTAAGTCTCAAGAGCCTTTAACGTCAACATTCTTTGTCTCAGGATTTCCATCACCATCACGTAGTGTTATGGTTTACATCCGGCTGTTTCCCCAAAGCCACAAGAGCACCGAGGTGGGGCTTTTAGCAGGGGGCTGGATCATGAGGACATGATACTCACCAGTGGATTAACCCATTCAGGAGTTTGTAGCTAAAGGAGATGCTGGGAAGTACAGCCTGGGACTAGGAAGTGGTCGCCAGGGTGTGGCCTGGAAGGGTCTCCCTCTCTTTTTCCTCCCTAGATCTCCCTCTGCTTCCTGATTGTGAACAACCCTCCTCTGCCATGCCCCTCTGCCATACTACCTTGCCTTGGAGCAGCCGACAATGGACTGAAACCTGTACAAACTGTGAGCCAAAATGAACCTTTACTTCTTTAGTTTATGGACTGGATATCTTGTCCAGTAATGATAAAGTGATGAAGACAGCAAGCTTGGGTCAGCTTATTGGAAAACCAGAGTCCTTGTGGGCTCTCTTATTGTCCTATTTGAAGACAAAATCAATAGCAAGTGAATGTTCAGCCTATCCTCAAACATATGAGATAACACAACCAATATCAATGGGGCTTTCTACCAAGCACTCAACTTAACTTCAGACATCTGAGTTAGTTCAGTTTTGATTAGATGAACCATCCAGATGAAACACAGGTTTGTGGGCAGGAATAACTGTTGAGTTCTTAAGTTTTGGAGGGATTTATTATGCAATAATATCTCACTAATATTGGCTACAACTGTAGCTCCTCACCATTTGATGAACTGGTCTCATGGAGTTAAGGAATGCATGCCAAGACCCTGGAATGTATAATTTGTCACTGTCAGATTATAACGGAGAATTGAAACTCGGACTGTTACCTGTGGTGACTAAAGATGAGGCCTATATTCAGAATATTTATCCCCTTATGATTATCATGATAATTGTTTTTTTTTCTTTTCAAAGTTTTATTGATAAACATATAGCAATGAGACAGTTTCAAATCAAATCGAAAGTACAGTTTCAACAAATAATACACTGCATACATTCTTCCTAGTGGTTAATTGCTGTACAAGATGCAGACTTGTGATCCTACTTACAAACACCATTAGAAAAAATCATTCTATTCATTAAGAGAATGCAACTATATATCTATCCCAACCACTTTGAATACACAGATACAAAATGGACATTCATAGTTATACCCCAATTTTTTTTTAAGTTCCGTTGTTGAATATTATAGGTGTTTAAACTCAGCAAAATATTCTAAAAGAGTACAGAAGCCCATAATATCATTGGGTCTTCTGTTTAACTGGCAATGTCAGAAATTATTGACCTGAGTCCCCCACAGCTCAACATAACAGCATGGCTTTACTTCCTATATTTCATCTTCATACTTTTCTACTGGATGGTTAAGACCAAGGTAAAGCAGGACCTGTGCAACAAGAGTTGTAGCTTTTTGGTCTGACAAGGTCAGTGAAATGCCCTCAGGATTTATCTTGAGATCCTGTACCTCAGATTGTAGAACCTTTATCAGTGCAGCCATGTGGAGGAGTCACGGCCAATGCTTGGCCTATGTGCTCTCTGTGAAAGCCTGAGAGAGTGTCTTCTCCCCATGTGACTCTCCTTAGGCGCACTCTACGTCATCGATCACTTTCCTCCTTGGCCCCATTATCTTCTTGATCAGAAAATTTGGGACACTACCGAGGTACATGACGTTACAGTACAAGTTCTCATATGTCCTGAGTCTTAATTGACCTTAGAAGGATAGGGCCAAAATGTTGGCTTTCCTTGTAGCCCTCCTTTTTCTCTAATTTTGGTCTGCAAACTTAGGTTGTTAACCATCCAGAAGACAAGCTTATTGTTATTATCAAACGATTTACGCTATCAAGCTTAACCTCACTATCTCACTGCATTTCAAACATCTTAGGCATAATAAGGAACAGGTATTTTTCATCAAGTATTGATATGTTGAACCTTAAGTCCCTACATAATATGATAAAGAACATTTAAAAATTAGATTATATTTTAACAATAGAATAAAGAATTCTATGCTTCTCATGTTTGCACATAAGTCCAAAAATCTCACCATATACAACCTTGAAGCAGGACTGTCCCACAGTATTCCTTTTCCTGTCTCTTGCTTTCATTCACCACCCCCTTCTTCTTGAACATCCACCTACCCAAGAAACATCTTAGCAGTAACTGGCATGTCATGACAAGCAGCCCATATTCAGAATACCACAATGACAGGCGCTCCCAATATGAAACCACTATTACAAATTACCGTCTGCAGTGCAGTAGCTTAGTTCACAGATATCAGTATATATAGTTAGTCAGGGTGAGAATCTTTCCAATTAACTCCTAGATTAAAGAATATTCTGAATATTCTCCGGATCATTGCCTTGCTCAACTTTTACATATAACTGCATGGCTTAACATTGTCATGTT